TGTGTGTGTGTGTGTGTGTGTGTGAGAGAGAGAGAGAGAGAGAGAGAGAGAGAGAGAGAGAGTCTCTCTAACTACCTACAACCCACCCACCCCGCCATTAAGTGTTGTGTCTGTACCAATCAGCTTCACATCTTATCTGCGGTCCGTCGGTACCCAAGGAGAAATGGGAAAAGTACTGCAGTGCGCGTGCGCTCGCTCGCTCGCTGGAGAGAGAGAGAGAGAGAGTCTCTCTAACTACCTACGACCCACCCAGCCCCCATTAAGTGTCGTGTCTGTACCAATCAGCTTCACATCGTATCCGTGGTCCATATCGCTATCCATATTAGAATAAATCAGTTGCACTTTTTCATCTTCCCGTCTAATATTGCAGAACCGTATAGTATGACCTTGTTTGTCACAGTGTTGGCATATGGCGGTTCTCCAATCAAAACGGGTTCTCCTGCCCCCTTGGCTCCCTTGATTTCCTTGATTTCCCTGGCCTTGGGAGCCTTGGCTGTTCCATTGACCTCCTCGGCCACTGCCATTTTTGCCACGTCCCCTTCCACCGCCTCTCCCTCCATTCCCCGAATTACCCTGGCCTTGATTACCTCCACCGGCCACACTATCCTGTGAACTAGGTGCGGGCGACGGAGGCGGTGCCATGGGTTAGGCCAGAGTGGCGGGATAACTTGGAGGCGGGATAAATTGGAGGCGGCCTACTTGCTTGGGGCCCAGCGTATGGTACCGTTTGCCCAGACGGAGTTGGGCTTCCCAACGGTACAAAGGTGTTGTACATAGGCCATGGCCACTGCCCGAATGGTGGTACCGCCACTTGCGAGGGTCCCGCACTACTTGACGGAGCCGACGCACTTGGTGATGCGACTACTACTGCTTGGGGCGCTTGCCCCTTTCCTGAGCCTTGCCCCCTCGGGGTTAAATTGCGCTGCTTTCGTAGCGCCTTCGAGAGGTGTTGGGGTATTGGCTCTTCTTTTTCCCACTCCTCTTGGACGGCTTCCTCCACCACTTAATCCTTTCCTTTCCTCTGGATTGCCGTCACTACTTTCTTTTGTATTACTTCGTCTTTTCCATAGCCCAACTCTACAAGTACGTCGGTGACGATCCTTCTTACTCCTGGGGTCCCAGACGTTGTGGCATCCCTTTCCTTTCTCTTACGCCTTTGCAGGCGCATTTGGTACTGCTCCACCTTGTCCAGGCTTCCTTCCTCTATTCCTTTATCAATGGTGGCCTAGGTGAGTTTCACACTTTCTCCTCCGTGGCTTGTTAGCTCCGCAGCCTCCGAGGCGGTGAGCAATCCCAAAAATATGGCGCATTGCGCCTCCTCAAATATACCATGAACTTTCCTGGCCTTCTTTTTAAACTCTTGGGCGAAGGCTCCCACCATAGTAAAGTCGTCTCTGTTCATGGCCTCTAGATCTGCCGTGGTCAACAGGTTGTCGCCCAACCTGTATTTCCTCTGCATTCCATCCCTAAACATCGCCCAACTACCATTGGCGGTGTCCACAACCTTCCTCACTTCCTGATGATGCCCATGAAGCACGTACTTCAGAATTCGCTGGAACTTTACCTCGTCTGACAACCCCACCCTAGCCTGCTCGACCAGATCCAACCAATCAGAGACCCGCTCTCCATTGAAGTGGAATGCATCAACCTTAGGAACGTTACTCGGCGCCCTTTCTCGCATGTCTAAGGCTTCGATGAGATCATCGAGGGTCAGGACCTTCCCTGAACCGTCTGCTATGGCCCCCGACATCTCTGCGGGTTGTCCTTACTCGACTTTCCCTGTTTTAAGAAGAACACACCACCTCATTCAACAGTCTGATCTTATCACATTCCACATCAGACCGCTGCTATAGCTAACCCATGGTCCAAGCCTAACAGGTCCTACCCCATTTCCACTCCCATAGAACTTTAACTTAATAAACCCCGTTTTTCCCTATAGGGTTTCCCTTATGATTTTCCAACCCATGCAATCAATCAAATCAAAGAAACTTAATAGTGAAGCTCCTTTATTATCATTAGCCTAGCAAGAGCTTACGTACTCCAATTTTCCTTATATGCCTATTTTCTCTCAATCTTATACCCGGATGTCGTTTCACCAGGGACAACGGCAGGCTTCCGTTATCGCCGGCAATGGCGCCACCTGTCAAGCGCATCGGTTCGGCACCGCACAACGCAGCGCGGGACCCTCCCGACCGCGTCACGTAGGAGTTGGTCTTAATCCTCGTTGCAAATGTATATGGAGCTTCCACAGGCCGCTAGTTCGTACGACAGGATAGGGCCTACATAAGGCACGACTTACCTCCACCTTGCGGGAGCTGTCACCTCCCTTCGGTGGGCGTAACCCCGCCGAGCTACCAGTCCACAATACGAAAGCTAATCAGGTGCAATCGCAGAGGTGGACCAGGCGAGGGCATTTCTCGTACGCTGTAGCATAGGGGGTACGCGCGGTATTACGCATGTATCGGACCCGCATGAGAACCGACATCTTGGGGGGCTGAGGTCCCAAGCGCGACTCGTCGCTGGTCGACTAGGACGCATCCCACACTCCACGCACACACTACTATGACAAAATAATAATAAAAATAAAAGCACATCCACACACACATACATATACATATACAGAATGACACTGAACAAACAACGCGACAACACTCCTAGTCCCTTAGCAGCCATCCCATAACTTTCCAACGAGGAAATCAGGTATGCGTCTCGCGCGAGACTTTGTATAAAACCGCGCGAATGTAGGGCTAACTCATATCGACTAGCAATGCATAAATACGCAAGCAGTCGCAATGATGTCGTACTATGTAGTGCTCATAATCAAGCGGTCCCTCGTGGATCCGAGTACCGCTTATGACACTCAAGTGTCAGACTCAAAGAATCATAAAGGCTTGCCCTTTCACGATATTGCACGGCTGAAGGAATAGCCGCGCGGCCGCCGCGACACCTCTGGCTTTTAGGCTGAGTGTCTCAGCAGGCAGGGCAAATAGGCTCTGCGCGGGGGGAGATCCCTTCCAAGGAGAGTCTAGGGCCTGGGATTTCCTGCACAAGGACCTCAAATCCAAGCCCATGACCAACGTTCGACTAATAAATCTTCCTTTTTCAATCTCAACCCTAATTAATCCCCTAAGCGTGGGCCCTCTCAGGCCACGCGAACACCCAACATAGGTACATACGCATATACATGTAAATGGGAGTAAGTATGTGACGTGCACTTCTCACAATCGCAGTGGGACTCCTCACAACCATATATATATATGTGTGATCGCAGGCAGTCAAATCCAAAATCTGAACCATAGATCATACCTGCAATCACACCAAAGAGTCAACAAAGTCCACGCACTACACGAAGTCAACTCCAACCAATCTCTATACACATACCCCTTGCTTCAGCCATGCAAACCATAATTAAATACTCAGTACCTTCGTTAAATGGCCATTCTATAAAAGTTCGGGTGAAAACCTTGATAAAACAACAAAGATCATCAGGGCTAAAGCCTTTTAGGTTTAGTATTGAGGATGAATTGGAGTCGAGTCGTAGACCGACGAATTGGCAACCGACGTGTTATCAGTGATAACAGAAGGTGATCCTTGTAGGATCAAGTTGAATCTAGTCCTGATTTCGAATCAAACGTTCAAGAGGACCTGTAACACAAGACAGGCCAATCCCAAGCTAAATCTATGAGTCCAAATCGAGAGTAATTTCCATATCACGATTTCACCAAGAATCATCTACTTAACTAATCCTAAGTCTACCCCTAAGTCAGTGCCTAAAGAAAAGGTGGACCTTTGACAAAATTTCCTTTATATAAAGTGGATTGCCCAGACCTGCCGCCTGTCATAATATAATCTTCCTCTAAACTAAGAAAATTTCGGCAGTGCTTCCCGTAGGAAAAGTGCCTTTCCAGAGTTTATAATAACCCAAAAATCAAACTTCAATTCTGGAAAGTCAAATTGTGTCTAACTCCTTGAACTAGTAAACATTTGGGCAGCACTTCCTTTAGCAAGGTAGTCCTCCCATATTTATACTAAGTTAGATATGAACTGAGAAACAAAACCTGAGTTCAACTAAGATAAAATTTAACTAACTCCTTAGATTTGTAGAAATTTCGGCAGCGCATCCCGTAGAGAAAGTGTTATTCCAAGATTTATACAAAGCTAGTTCAGAATCTAAAAAAGGACTTTGACTTCTCAAAGTCCAATTTTGTCTAACTCCCTGAATTAGCAAAAGTTTGGGCAACACTCCCTTTAGAAAAGGAGGTTTTCCAGAAGTTTACTAAGCCAAAAAGTTGGAAAAACCGGATTTGAAAAAGACAAGATGTGACTAACTCCTTGGTTTTGTAGAAATTTTGGCAGCGCGTCCTGTAGAGAAAGTGGCTTACCAAAATTTATACAAGACCAAAGTATAACAAAAGATCCTAGAAAATGCAGAAATTGACCTAAGGAAAATAAACTTAGCTCAGAAACAAGACCAAAGTATAACAAAAGATCCCAAAAAGTGCAGAAATTGAACTTAGCTCAGAAAATGCAGGAATAGAAACTAACTCCTATGGCTATACCAAAAAGTGCAGAAATTGACCTAAGTTAAATAAACTTAGCTCAGAAAATGCAGGAATAGAAACTAACTCCTATGGCTATAGCACCTGGCGAGCAACTAAAGCAACTACCTATCAAACTGAAACTCTGACTAAGTAGTAGTCGCACTCAGTCTCATGCAGGCCAAACCACAAAAGTAAGTACTCTCACCATCCCAAAGTCAACTTATCAAACAATAGTTCGTAGTCTCTCAATGACTTATCCCTTTATACCCAGCTTACATAGGGCATAAAGCTAGACCACCCAAACTTATGGAACATGTCTAGCTCAACCATCAAGTATACACAAACACAGGGAACAACAACTTTTCTCTTGTTTGAGCAAATGACCAGGCCACCCTAATCGCCCTGAAATGTTTAAATATCCATGATTTATATAATTCTTTTTACTTGGTCTTTTGAGGTAACATATAATTGAACCGATCATCTTTAGCTCAAGATTCTGTCTGCCCCTTTGCACCACAAGTTATTCTTAATTAGTACTCTCTTCAGTTGGTGATAAGCTATAGTCAGACCACCCAAACTTATGGAACACTGTCTGACTGGCCTGTTCATAGATAGAATAGTAGTGAAGTATAGCCAAACTTCTGGTTCCCGCATGTGCGAGGCGTTGGACCAAGACCACCCAAACTTATGGAACATGTCTTGGTCCTCAGCCTGGTTTATTTCTTCTAAAACCAAAGCAGGAAGAGGTTGAGCCACCCAAGCTTATGGAACATGCTCAAACCTCCTCGTTCAGGAACTAAAGAAACTGACAAAAACCCAAAGTAAACAAGGCGACCAAGTCACCCAAACTTATGGAACATGCTTGGTCCCTGAAAAGTCATTCACAGTTAGCCCTCACAAGTCAGAGCAACCAGACCACCCAAACTTATGGAACATGTCTGGTTCTCCAGGCAATTTAAAATAAACATAGCATTGCGCCTCCCCAAACTTTTAGAGACTTGCCCAGCCTTTGATAGACCCAGTCAAACTTAAACAATACTGCCTTTCTCCCATTCTTCCCCCACATGCAATCCCATAATTTGCTTCCAGTCAACCAATAAAATTGAAACTGACATTTCACATACTTTCCTTTCCTTTGTCTGGTTTGTCCTGAAAGTCAAACTGAAAAAGTCAAAGTAAAGGGCATGCAGTATATATCACAAGAAATACGGATAAGGGTTATAATTGGGTTTCTAGAAGGGAAGCAATGATTACCTCTTAGTTCCCTGCCTCCAGAACCCCTCCTGAGTTTCGGCAGAGCTCCCGCAATCGGTGGGCTAACTCCCCATAGAGTCTTGCTGCGGTCCTACGGGTTGCAATCCTGCCTGCCACCTTCCTCTCAGATTAGGACTACATTTGGAGCTAGAATGATAGAAAGAGAAAGTTTAAGTCTTTCAGATCCAAGGAGGGTGCGCTCAGACTTGTGTGAGAGGGCCTTGTTATCTTCAAGCGCCTGAGGGCCCCGCAATGATGGTCAGGTACGCAGCTGCCAGTCAAACCGAAGTCAACTGTTTACGCAACCCCTTCTGATGACCTCCCAAATCGCAGTACTGCAATAGCGAGGTCCAACTAGCCCTACAACGGCTATGGTGTGCACAGGCACCGACTATGCAGCCCCCACCGAGCTCTGGTCAGTATCCGACCCACAG